TTTTTTTTTTTTTTTTTTATTTTTTTTTTTTTTTTTTTTTTTTTTTTTTTTTTAGTTCATTGGCAAAACAAAACTCAAGACAGAAAGAGGAAAAATTGATGGGACATGGAGTCCTGGACATTTAATCCAGAGATAAAGAAGAGAATGTGGCTGGAGAGAGATGGAATGAGAACAGTGAAGCTGAGGTTCCATTATTGATGAGGGACACAGACTGGAGAGCAGAAATGAGGCCAGTGACAAGAAGAGAGGAGAAACACACACACTTATACACACACATTCACTCACTCACTCACTCACTCATTTTAAACACAGGAGAACACATGCTGGTAAAGCTCAGGTTCATTAACGCCTGCAGAAACAAAAGAATAGCCAGAAAAGCATTCAGAAAAATTTAATATTTATTTTTGAATAAATATTTGATTACCCTTTATATACATTATAGCCTGAATAAAGCCGACGCTTGGGCAAAATAAGCACTGTGGTCCTGTTTAGTCCTAAATACTTTTTAAAAATCTCATCTTGAAAAAAGTGAGGACTCGCTTTAGTTGTCACACAGCTACAGTTCTCATGTGCTCACTTGGAAATGTAGGTTTGTAGAGTGTTTAGGTTTAATAATGTAAAAGGACTGGGTGAGAAGGGCAGCAAACGCTCTTCAGTGGATATGAAATGCGACATGTGAATTGCATGTAAGTGTGTTGCTGATGGACTTTCTCCATCTGTGTGGGTCAGGGCCAAGTCAAAGAATGGCGGTCGGTGCCTCAGGGAGAAACTGGACAGGTTGGGACTCAATCTCCCAGCAGGCCGCAGAAAAGCGGCGAACGTCACGCTGTTGACCTCTTTAGTGGAAGGTATGGATTCATTTGTGCTTTTTTTTTTTTTAATAATGCCACCTCTTGCTTATCAAGTTCATTGTTGATTTCATATGCATGCTTTTGTTTCTAACATTGAATACTGACTTGATTTGATTTGATGTTGGATGTTTGTACAATGACTCATTTTATGAATTTGGTTTGTTGAAGTTGTTTAAAGGAAGCAGAGATAAAATATGATGCAAAATGTGAGCAACTTGTTTACATTTTCATTCCGTTTTATTTCATATCTAGGACCTGTTGAATGCATTTTTGCAATTCAACAGGTTGTAAGCGTAATGCATCGGGTTTAGTTTCTTCATATTTGTTGTGGGTGAGCTCTTATTAAGATTGAAACGAATCTATTCTGGCATAAAAGAATACGTCTGAAATTTTTTTTAGTCTACAGACAAAATCTCTATTACTCAAGGGAAGAGTTTAAGTATTAGAATGGTGTGAGACAGATTGATGCAACATCTATGCAATTTTTTAGGCAGTATTTAGAGAATGAACTGATTTCCAGGCTTCATTCATCCCTCATCTTCCTCCTCTGTCTGTGTGTGTGTGTGTGTGTGTGTGTGTGTGTGTGTGTGTGTGTGT